TATATATATATATATATATATATATATTCTGTTGCTAGTTTTTGACCAGTAAAAAAATTAAAATAAAAATAGATACACAAACGCTATTACTTTGTAATTGGATGGTTGAGGGCATGGAGGCAGAAGTTCCGTCTCTCAGCACAAAGGCTTTATGCTCGAAACAAGGAAAAAAATAGATTCGTTTTCAGGCTCACATATATACTATGGCAGCACAGAACCACACCGAAGTGAATGAGGTTGTGTTTGCTGTAATATCTTATTTCTCAAATCCGATCAATGTCATTGATGGACCACTCAAATTATGACTTACAGTCGATCAGTGATTTTGCATGAAACGCTAAACATTCCGGTTCATCAGATCGGTTTTAAAGCTAGTGGTAACCACTTGCACCACTGAGCGAAAAGAGTATTAAAGGAACTGTCCAGGGAGGATGGCTCATTTTTCATTCAAATACTCTATGTTAGGGGTGCCCAAACTTTTTTGACTGAAGATCTACTATTCGATCAACCAACCTCCCGTGATCGACCCGTTACCGCGCACACGCACAGACATACACGCGCATGCCATGATGAGGAACAGCCTGAGGTGGAGGCATGCGACGCACTTTGGCAGCCTGTTAACTATTGTAGCTCATGCGTACCGTTTGAAAATGCTTCCCTCGGCCCTCCGGGTTCCTATTCTTTGCCCGTGCCCTCGGTGAATTGTACACGAAACAAACTCTGAATGAGAATAATGACAACGATAAAAGATATAGCGCAACATCTCCGATCACAAGCTGCGATTGCAGACTGCTGAGCGCTAACAACTTCCGATGACGCAGGTCACGCGCCACCGCAGGTTCAAGATTTACCTGCTTTATTTTGTTTTAATTTTTTAATCCTTTTTGTGAAAATTAGCCTGATAGGATGATTAGGGTGCAGTGCACATTAACAGAAAAAATATATTACTAACATGCACAAAGACACACAAATGGTTGGTTGTTTTTTTCTCCTCTGCACCTCTCGCGATCAACTTGGGACCAGTCCTAGAGCTACCGGTCGATCGCGATCGACGTAATGGGCACCCCTGCTCTATGTATTTCTGATCAGTAATATCATATTGGTTTGTATTTCCAATTTGATGAATTTGTTTTGGAGAAATCTGTAAAAACTAACTACTCTCAAACCGCTTTCTGCTCAGCGATATAACCATACCCCCCTACATGTTCCCATGTCTTGGTGAGTGTCAGTGGAGAAATCAGACGCAATTTGTCCATTCAAAATCATTGTACATACATTGTCAACAATGTCAAAAAAACGTCAATCAATCGGCACCCTGATTTATTTGGACATCTCAAATTACGCTCACTTCAACCTCTGAAAATATTAGATTGATTAGCCTCTCCTTGGCTCGCTTATGAGAGAATGAGGAAATGAGTAGCTTACATGCAGTTTCTTTCATGCTGGATGTATTTTCTTTGATCCAGCCAGATTCCTCAAGATACAAACACTAAGGACTCCGAGAGGCTTTTCGTAAACTGATTTCTTCATAGGTAGTTGTGTTAAATTTCAATCTTTAAGGGTTTGCTTGACTTACCTTTTTATCTTTAGCTTATTGCATATTTGAAAATGACCCACCCGAAGCGGCCACACTTGATTGAGGATGGCCCCCTTGGCTGGAGGTCCAGTGCCCCGAATGTCCATTCATTAAATCCATCCATCCATCCATTTTCTGCACTGCATTTCTTCACTAGGGTCATGGGCGTGCTTGATATTTCAAAGTCGGACTTTGAAATTTTGCCAAGCCAATCCCCAGAGAGGTGTCGTGCAGCTGCCTATCCAATATTGATGCAAGCGGCCACTTCAGTGAGCGCATGTTGCACCGCGACATAAGGGATGTTCACATGGCAATTTTTACTCCGGTGCAGCACCGAGGCTGCCCCCGTAGACCGTTCACACGTACAAGGTTATACCGGTGTAGCCCCTGAAAACAGCTTAAACCGGAGCAAATTTAACCCTGCTCAGGAGGCGGTTTAAAATTTTACTCCAGAGTAAATGCTAGTTTGCGGGCCAGCACCGATGTAAAATTGGACATGTGAACACTACAGGGGTAGACTCGGTACGACGCGTGAGAAGAGTTGTTTACATACGGGTATTGAATGCGTTTCTTTTGTGCTCTGTTGGACTTCCGTCATCTTTCCTTTCTCTCTTCTCTCATCCTTTTACGGTGTCTGATAGACCATGAAGTTGATTTGTCCGGAGAAGTATAACCCATGGTTTTTCAATATGTCACAAACAAGGCGGGGAAAAGGAAGTACACTTTATGCATGCGCATGTTTTATTTCGTATTGCACGGCCGCAGAAACTGCCGTGTGAACGGAAGTGGGGCTGCGCTGGGGTTAACACGCTTCTCTTTAGTAAGCAGCTTTTTACGTGTGAACGGTCCACAAAATTTACATTGGTGTAAGATATATTGCAACAAAATACGTAGGTGCAGCACCGATGCAAATGTGTGCCGTGTGAACACCCCTATAGAGCTCCAATTTCTGGAGGGAGAAAAGCCAGTGTTCACCCCAGTAACTACGGCTGCATAACCGCGTTCACCTGACTGCTTTCCGTAACTTCGAGCTCCATGTCTGGCCGGTATCAAGACAATTTTGTCCAGTTCACCGCGGTAGCCGAACGCTGAGTGGCAAAGGTTCGCAAGTGTGTGCACCAGAAGCAAATGTTTTTTTTTTTTTTGCGTCAGGGTTCATTCAAGGTTGCAAATGATTGACGTCCGCTAACAATTGTAATGGTGTCAAACAGTGTTCTTGTCCAAAATATATTTTTGAATCTGTTCAAAATTTGATGGCAACAAGAAAGACAGTTTGCAACCAATAATCTTTTCAGGCACAGAGGTAACTAGAGTGGACAGCTTATCATGTTATCACGTCCGTCCGAGGGTGCATGTCAGGGTTCAAACAGTTTGGCAATGTCTGGTGAATGTCTTTGCAAATGATTGCCATTGTTTGCAACGCTGGTTAAAAAACAAAAAACAAAACAAAAACAACAGCAACAACAACAAAAAAAAAACATGCTACATGAGCACACACTTGTAAACCTTCACGAGTGAGATATGGACTGAACTGCTGACTTCGTAGATGCAGTGGTGTTAGCCAGTTAGCTATGGAAGCTGGCTGCCTGCCTACGGAGTTAAAAAAAAAAAAAAAAAAAAACTAAACATCACTAAATGTCTTAAAACTACGACTAATCATCACCAACGTTGGTATGCACATCCCTACTGTTTTCCACTTAAAAAATATAAATACTGATTTGCACAATATTTTCAGTTTTGTGCAGTTGATAATGTCTTTTCCTCGAAGAAGCTCAGATTAATTGTCCATAAAATCCAAAATGTGCTGTTTTTTTTTTTAATGTTTTCACAGGTTGAAGTACACACGAGGAGAGCTGTGCATCAGAATTTTTTTGATGATTGGTCACCGTTTTCAGACAATGGGTGACAATAAACCATGACAAAGCAGGCCAATAAACAATATTGCAATGCTTGCCTCCTTGCTTCAATGACATAGTCAGGCTGATATGTGAAAAAAGCAGTGCTCACCCATCAATAATAAATGTAATTAAGATGTGTTTAAGAAAAAAAAAACATTCAATCACAACTGAATTTTTCAGGTGGGTGAATTTTAGTGCTGTAAATGTTCAGCCCAACAAACGATCTCTTTTATAAAGGAAACAATGTCTCATGTAGAAATGTTTATCTATTTGACAGAATGAATTTTATGTGGCAATTTTTATCCATCCATCCATTTTCCGATCCGCTTTGTCCTCACGAGGGTCGTGGGCGTGCTGCAGCCTATCCCAGCCATCTTGGGCAGTAGGTGGGGCACACCCTGAACTGGTTGCCAGCCAATCACAGGGCATATATAGACAAACAACCTTTCACACACACAATCACATCGAGGGACTATTTGGAGTGATCAATTCGCCGACCGTGTATGTTGTTTTTTTGTTTTTGAACGTGGGACGAAAGCGGAGTACCCGGAGTAAAGGCTGGAGCTGGAATCAAACCCTGCACCTCTGCACTGTGAGGCAGATGTGCTAACCAGTCAGTCACCATGGCACCCAGCAGTTTTCATAGCTTAAAAAAAAAACAACTTTAGATTGAATCTTTTTTTTTTCTTGCTGTCCTGCCCATACCATGGTTGTCACAAGGCTTTTTTCAAGCATGGGAATAGCAAAAAGAAATCCCAAAATCCCAGGAGAACTGAACACCACACACATGCACCAAGGCACGGCACCAAGAGGAGCGGTTCTTTTCTCTTGCGGTGAAAAAGAGGGGCTGGACACAGCAATACATTGGGGCAGCCACACGCCCACACACTTACCCCCCCTTGGAAGGAATGTTTGTTTTGGACAGACATTCCTACAAGTTTCAGCTTTTTTGAAAAGCAAGGTAAAACAGAACTTCAATCCCTCTGCCTCTGATATATAAATATATTTTTTTAAATATGACACGGCTCTCCCAAGTTTATTCAATCACTTCGAACCTAAATATGTTCTGTTGTTGATGAATCATTTGTTTTGCAAATCAATTGTCTTCTGTTTTGTGCTCTTTTGTTTATGTCCAGATGGATGCCAGTAACACAAATCAGATGTACCGACAGGTACAATAATGTAACCTGAACCTTTGACAATAAACCACGCTGAGCCTTGCTTCCCTTGAAAAAACAGTAATCTCCATTTAGGAGTGACTTTTCAAAGAGGTCCAGTTGTAATCCAGCGTTTGAAGGAGTAGGAAACAGATTTTAGGACCCACATTTGACAAGTTCTCAGGGGAGGACATGCAAGAATTCCATTTGACCCTGAGGGATTATGTCGATAGGGTATTATGGGTTGATACAGGAAACAAACAAAAAAAAAAAAAAGGACAACCTTGCTGACTGTGAGAAAAAAAAAATAGAAAGTGTGAAGTGGTTCTATAGTTTTTTTTTTTTTTTTTTTTTTTTTTTTTTAGAGCTGGAGATTAGATAGATGTAGCAATGGGCAAACACACTATACCCTCGATAGAGCGACGATATGAAATGCACTCCTTGGTGGTGACATCAGCCGCAATGGCATTTCACCTGACTTCAATGCATCCCGTGTTATTGCAGCAGCGGACAAGGCTCAGTCCTTGCATCTATACTGCATTAGTCGTTGCCATGGTAAATGTCCTCCATGCCGGCGGTTCAAGAGAGGCGATATCCTCCTCGGCGGCTTCTGGCAGCACGGGAAACTGCGGGTCTCAGGGACAGAAGCTGTAAACCAGTAAAAATACAATTTGTAAATCCAAGTGACGTGCAAACACCAATAAAAATCAAACCTTGATGAGTTTTCTTTGCTTTTCCATCATCTGTCGAGAACACTTTGCAGATTGTTATGTCAAATATGTTTCATGTACCAGTGTTTATTCGTAGTCAGGGCCCGCGAAGGAGAGGCTTTACACTGTATTTCTATGACCATGGAATTGTGAGAACGCAGCAGGCCCACTAAACTGGACCAAATATCCCTCTTATAACTTCTTACACTGTCTTGTTCATGTCGACATGGAGTGATGAAGTTGAGGGGTTTAACGCCTTTAAAAGTCATTCATCTGACGGATTATGGTCAACAGATGCCCATTACAGTCAGTCACAGCTGCATTTTTAGGCCATTATCATCACTTCCACAGCACACACCCTACTGAGGACTTCTTTATTGTTGCCATTGCTATGACGTCATCTCATGTTGCACAAAACAGAATCCCATGGATTGAAGGGACGTTGGGCACTTTTTACGCAGGTCAAAAAGAAGTGGTTCGGTTTAGACAGTGATAAAGCGCAATAATGTACGGAATTAAAATTTCCTTCATTCGGTACATACAGTACATGAATTAACTGATACCTAAAATTGCATACTAAAAATCATTTAAATGTGATAATTTTACTTACATTACCCAGCGCCGACTTGCTCCCTAATGTAGTACAGTATCATACACACTCGGAGACGCTTCATTTGGGACCCCGTCTAAATTCCTGAAATCCAATAAAAACAGCGATGGTAATGTTTAGTTTTGATGTTAATCATTTAATGTTTATTGTATTTATTCAACAATGTTTTTTTTTAAATTCCAAAATCGAAAATTCAGCCATCACTCTGCTGTGTATATCATGTTTAAATTGTTATGGTTGTAGTTTGTTGTGTAGATTTGCATGTAATCGGCATAAATGTGACTCTGACATTAGAATCTTTTACTCATGAAGAAATGTATCCCTGCGAACACAGAGAAAGGCTGAACCATTGTTATGAAATTAATAATTAAGACATGGCAAGCCCGGTCAAATTCAAGCAATAAAACTGACGTAAAATACTGTGCATTTCATTTATCTCAAATCATCACTCTGCGGCATAAATCAACGTGCACTGCTGGCTATAGCTCACCTTCAGTTCATTCAATTTAGAATGGATTTTTTTCTCCAAATACTGAGACGGACACGGGGGCTTATATCCATGTTGCTTCAACTTAAGTCTCGTGAGTAAATCAAGTGCAAGTTTCTATTCACATATAGGATGGGCTGGACCGAGAAGGTATTGAGACCCTCCCTCTTCCCTGCTAAATCTGCTTCTGACACATCAAGCTTGTGGAGCCTTTGTACAAAATATATTTGGAATTGTCCTTTAAACTTGCTCCAAAGCAGCTTATAGGCAACAATATCGAATTGGCCCACAGACGACCCCTAGCATGACTGATCCCCATAGTGTGTGTGTGTGTGTGTGTGTGTGTGTGTGTGTGTGTGTGTGTGTGTGTGTGTGTGTGTGTGCGCGCGCGCGCGCGCGCGCGTGCTCGCGCTGTGGCTCATGAGAAAGGAGAATGCATGACAGAGAAAAAAAAGAATGTAAAATAGACTCAAGACAAGGAGTATTGTGGAGGCTAAACCCATTTAAAAAACACATGCGCATGCACGTGTGCATGCGCACACACACACACGCACACACACACACACACACACACACACACACACACACACATAGGCACGCACATGGGTGCGCGCGCGCACACACGCACACACACACGCACACACACACACGCTTACGCACCCGCGCGCACTTACGCGCGCACACACTTATGCGCGCGTGCACGGACGCTGACAAGAACACTTTTTTGTTTACATAGGCATTGGACATGAATAGCAGCCTAAAGCTTGGGCCTCAATGAGAGCTAACGGGGTTGAATGGGACTGATAGATTCAATGGTGAAGAGAGGAGCCCTCTTTTCAATGTTAAAAGGCCATTTAGGTTAATCCAATGTCTGTGGTCATTGACTATAAAATGGCACGCTGTCGTCCAAGCAAAATATTGCAGCACAAATAAGAGGATGACAGAAAACCTGGCTTGTTTATGTACTACAAAATAAGAGTAAACAACATGTGAATGTAACACAATTAAAGCACTTGCATACACATTCTACACAAAATACTTTGGTACCTAGACTACTTTAAATTGGCAATGTATATCCAGCATTTTTGTCCATGAAGACTAAAACTCCTAAGCCCCAAAAAATGACAAAGCTAAATTTGTAAGAAAAACCCAAGATGTCATGTGCAATATTAACCAGGTTGACATATAACCTCTTCTCTGCTAAAACTAGTTAAACAAGGGAAAAAGTGGGAGCAATTTCAGAACAAGGAGCAATGTAAGAAAATAATATAAAAGCAAGGCCTTTCAAGCAAAGTAAAATAAAGTTGATTCAGTTGACTTATGCTGACCCGTTAGGTCAGCTTATGTGCATACACCGACGTGTTATAAAGTCAAGAAATTGCCCTTACAAACACATGACAGTACATTTATTCTTATTTGAAATAACAACTATGCTGCATGATAATAAATCTAAAAGCTTTTGATTCATCTGTTGTGTTGTTAATTTAGTGCTCTTTAATCGTCTGATCAAAGGCTTGAGGATGTATTTTTCATCAGGAGTCTCATCAATACGAGACGCTTGCTTTTAAAATATCCATATAGATGTACTCGCATGACCCAATGGTGGAGGGATTTTTAAAAAATCAGTTTTGTATTTTGGCTCGTTTTTTTTTTTTTTTAAGAAATAAAAGCAAGCTTGCATTTTTAATAATATTCAAAAGTTGCCTGCATACTTTTCATAGATGATGTGCATTAAACAGAATTTTGGAGTTTCATTGAAAGTATGGCTCAAGCCCGCCGGGCTAATTATTTGTCGGACACTGATTATGATAATCAATTTAATTAATGACTATATACTATATTCAAACCTAATTTGTGGAATTTTTAAGTTATGAAACGATATATATATATGCACACACACACTAAGGCAATAAGCGTCGTAGATTTTGCTTGTAACTCACATGTTTCATCCACTAATAATCTTCCAAATAATTTTTTCTTTCCAGACAAAATTAAAAATTAAACACTATGCAGTGATTCTAAATGATTGTGGCGCTGTTTTTTCCCCCACTGTAATGGTTCTTTTATTGAACTGTGCAGTATATTTTCACCTGCACTGTAGCATGTGTTTGCAAATACACTGCTCCGCACTGCTCCGTCTTGACAGCTACGTCATTCAGACACGCAATTTAGCCCGTCTCGCTTGTGGTTTTACATTGCCTTGAGGATTAAAAATTAGAGCACTTTAAAAATGCTGACATGTGCACTGCCAACACTGAAAAACATTTTTTTATTTTACACAAATCTCTTAAAATGATAAGACAATGAATTCAGAGTCTTTAATTCCATAGTCAATCTGTAGTTTTATTTAGTTGTTGCTTGGAATTTCAAGATTCCTCTCACATTTTTATTTTTTAAAATGTAAAGGTGATTTTGCATTTCTTTCTCTGATTAAAAATGTTAATCCAATTTGGCTTCATAACGCGCGCACTATACACTCGCACCATTGAACATTAAATATGTAATATATGCTTAAAATATGGCGCTTGATTTTGCCCCCATTCATGCTTTAATAAATGGGATTATGCAACGGTTTGGCAGTAATGCAGTGAGAACATTAAAAAAAAAAATGCTGTATTGTATGAAAATTGGAAGAGACAGAGGTGACAGAAGCTTGTAAACAACGGTTCTGGTTGCCACTTTGACTGTGTGTCTCACACACTGCACTGTTAATCCACTTAAAAACACAACAGACAACAGGCCGACTGATGTGGGGGCTCCGAGCCTCGCGCAGCGTATTCCAACCATTTTTAAAAATGGAAAAAAAACCTCATGTTGCATTTTTCCTATAACTGTAAAATGATGACGTTCAGGAAATAAATGCTTAAAATTCGGAAATGCAGAGATTAAAGGAAAAAAAAAGGACCCAGCTGCGGTTTATATAATTTTTCACGGTGCCGTCTCCCTCGCGCTTTCTCTCTCCTCAACATTACCTTAACAAAAGCCACATACACACACACAGACACTCTAGCTGTGTGACAGACAGAGAGACAAAATGGCTGAATAGTGATGGAGGGGCGCCGTGTTCTCTTATATGTCGACTAATCAGGCGGCACTAACATGTGTCAACACTGCACTCACACACTCATCAGCGTAAGGACAATGTGACACAGACTAAGAGTAAAACCAACTCCTTATTTATCTCCAGACAATGACTCGACTTCAAGGTTCATTACCTGCCATAAAAATCAGTCACAAAATATCAGGAAAATGCATTCAAAGAAACAACACCATGTTCAGTTTTAGATTTTCATGCGCGCCGTATTTTCACGTGAACGGTGAGCGCTTTTGAAAAGACATCTCCACAGTGACGGAGAAAGGCTCGCCGTCGGCTTCCTTTTGAAGCTTGCCGCAGCGCCACTGATAGCCTCCATTCAGTGTCATCACCATTCTGCAAAAGTGGCCTGTATCAAACCCTGCTGCATTTGGGTTCAAAAAGAATGCATAAGCCTTAAATGTGCCATCGCAGTTGTGTGGATGTGGAACCAAAACAGGCCATTGGTTACATTACAAAAAAATAAATGCATTTAATAAGCTATTTAGTTGTATTGTATTTTTCAGTCGCTAGAGCACGAGCGAAACGGATTGACGTGGGGTGATCAGCAATATCCTTGAGAATAGAAATGCATGAAAAGCAAGGAAGAGAGATGCTGGGTGAGCAAGGCAGAGAAGTGACTATAGAATCGGTCGCTAATCCTATAAGAGTGAGCATGTGTGAGCGTGTGCAGGAAATGTCATGGAATACAAGCTGAAATGAAAGTCTTACTGCATCTGCATTACAGTTATTCCCACTAAAGTGAAAAATGTACTCGCTGAGGCCTGCCGCACGATATATGATCTTGGTGTGGCTCGACGCCTATACACATCAGCACTGTGAGATGCATGAGAAAATGTAGCAGTGTTTTTAGCATAAGGTTTCCGGGAAATTTGCATCAAGAAGATGATTGTTATTTGAGATGGGTCCGACTTGACGTTTTATTCAAAGCTATAATATTGACTTTCCATTCTTCCTACGAATAATTGAGAGTGTGACATTTTGGAGCCAGCCAAAAGAGTGAAAACTGTAAGAAATGCGACCTGTTTTTGCTACTGGCCTCCAAATACTGTATGTTGGTCATGATGGGCAAGAAAGAGGTCGGAACCCCCTGCCTTCTGTTCTATGACTTAGAATGTATGTGGCAACAAAAACAACAGCTGATTCTGCAGACAGGTGGACAGAAGCTCGCAATTGGCCACTGATGTGTTAACGCATCACTATGAACCAATCTGGACAGCTTCCATTTGCAAAGCGCAGCACGACTGTTGTAACCGACACCTCCTGTGACACATTCACGCTCATGTCAAGAGACAAAGATGAAGAAGGACCTAATGGCAAAAGCTGAAAAGATGTTGACAGAAAGAAATATTACCACAATGCTTCGCGCAAACAAAAATGACAAAGCAGCCTCTTCTGTCTCGCAAAGCCACCCGCTCAAATCATCTTTCTCCTCCTCCATCTTAGCGCTGGCAGGTCGACAGGGAGACAAAGAGCCGCTGCTGCAGTGTGAAAATATCCTGACGTAGCTTGCTTCTCCTTGGCTCAAGTGAGTGTGTGTGTGTGTGTGTGTGTGTGTGTGTGTGTGTGTGTGTGTGTGTGTGTGTGTGTGTGTGTGTGTGTGCGTGTGTGCGTGTGTGCGTGTGTGTCTGTTTCAGGGTTTTACAGCTCCTTGATGATACCCCCCTGTGTTTACAATAAACAGGTACAGTAGTTAACATTTTCACTGTTGTAAGTTGCTCTAAGTTCCTTTTTCTAAGTACGCATTCCCACTACTTCGATCCCTTCTTGCATGTTTTACATTTGTGAGCTCCAAAATGCCGATGTGGAGATACTAGCCAAAATAAGGTGACTTTGTAGCAAATCGGTTCTCGCTCCTCAACCCACTTCATGCAACCCGCCCCCACCCACTGCTCATCACCTACTCCTCTCCTGTTCTCTCCTCCTCTACTATTCCGACTCTACAACGCCATACGATACGAAAACAATTGTATACACGACAAGAGGTGGTGAGATTAGATCACGTATGGTCTCACAAATCACATGAAGGTCTAAAATGTGTGGCAAACACCATACACGGCTGAAAAATGATGCATTTTGCTTCCAAATGGTGCAGGAGATAGATCATCATTGCTCTCACTGCAATATATCGTAGCACATGCACTAGCTGGATCCATCAGAGACAAAATGGCTACTATGACTTGAGACATTTTTACACAGTGCTCATCGTGATTTATTTACCCTCCGCCTCCATCTGAGCACAATGATAGGATTGAGTAACTCAATCCATGCTCCAGGCAATGTCTTTAATGCTGACAGAAACACAAGAAAATGCAAATAAACTCGGTTTGTAACAACTAGCAATGTTGTGTATACTCTCACCTATTTGAGGATGTTTCTTCCGGGATGACCACAGTCTGTATGAGATTTTGAATTAATAAAAATATTTCAGATAATCCAGTCCCACCCCGTGAGGTAAGGGTTAAAACGAAAAAGCAAAATGTCTGAAAATAATCGACAAACTAGATATTTCAAAAATGGCATTTTCGTATGATTGATTGAAAAATGATCATGCTGAAAGTGAAGGAGGTGAAATAGGGAGACGTGCTAGCACATCCCTGGTCAACTTCAAACTTTGGGAACAGGAGCAACAGATGAAGTGGTGGTGTATTGTGGAGGGTATTAAAGTGAGGGACACCCCAAAATCTCTCCCGCTGTGTGTATGTGTTTGTTTGCGTGTGTGAGTGTGACAGCAGGGAGCAGCTCAGCGCAGGACGCGGCACGCAGCAAGGGGCCATTAGACATGGTGGAGTGACCCACTTAAAAGGCTAAAACACGCACGCACGCACACACACACACACACACACACACACACACACACACACACACACACACACACACACACACACACACACACACACACACACACACACACACACACAAACCATGAAACTTTCTTTTCTTGCAGCCACTGTGCCATGAGAACCATAAAGCTGTGATTCTTAAGTATCAGGTTTAGAGTGGCCTGAGTCACATAGTTTTCACAGATTTGGTGGGCAACTGTTGCTCCAGTCAATAAACACAATAGTCCAATCATGTCTTTTCTTGTGATGATGCACATTCTTCTTGATTTTCAGAGAGAAATACTTCTTTCGTACTGGCTTATTGCATTTGGAATAAGAGGGGCCTCTTCTCATGGGAATTTAGTGGCTTTTTACACCAAAGTAATTAACCCCCAAAGAAGAAAAATGAGAAAGTTTAGGGGGATATATATATATATATATAAATGAATAAAATTTTCGATCCGCTTATCCTCACAAGGGTCGCGGGGGGTGCTGGAGCCTATCCCAGCTGTCTTCGGGCAG